AAGCGCATGAGATCATTATAAATTTAGATGATGAATAGCGAATCATCTGAAACAGAACTCTCTGAAAGCGACGAAGACGATGGCAACAACAATGACCTATAAATACAAACTTATCAAGGTGACAAGCTCGGTATTCCGTCCCTCCATGTATATTTTTTAGTTCTTTTAACATTTTATTAATTATTTCATTTCTTATTTAGTTTTAATTAACGTGTATGTCTGTGTCTTATCGTGCGTAACCTAACACTCCGTCTCCATGTAGAGGCCGCATTAATATTCTTAAATACTTAGAGACTATTCCGGTTACACAGTCAAATTGAGTATATAATATCAGTACCATCTAGAGAGTGTCATATAACCCCATAAAAGTAAATAGTTTATCACCCTCCATCCAAGTGCAAGAACGAAATTCCAGAGTTCAGTCCAGCGCGCCGAAGAAAGAAGAAGAGAGATAGAACATTCATTATTGAAGGTAGTGTACATTTAATTTAAATACGCAGACGATTTAATTACACAGATTTTGGATCATTCTGAATAAAAAAGGTTAATTGTAATTTTTCTCTAAAGTTGATCGTTTTCAACTTAACAATTTAAAACTGAAAAACAAAAACGAAAAATCATGATTTTTGAGGCTCTAAAACACAATTATTTTTGAATTCACCAAACCTTGTTCTATCAGTTCCTGATACTTTAGTTTGGGCTTTTTTGATTTTAAAACATTGTTTTTAGTTGTTTGAGTCCCTTATCCCAATGTAAAAATGAATTTATACAAAACTGTTCAATAAATTAGGACCACTTTTTGTATGGGCGACATCTTGAACATTATTCTGCAGTTTTGATTATGCAAAAAATCTCATGCGAATATTTTTCCCAAGGAATTTGTTGTTTTCGTCTCGTATATAAACATATTTTGCTGAATTTAAAACCAAAATCCTATTATTTTTCTATCATACATTCATTTGTTATTTATTTATTTGTTCCCTAGATTTTTTCAATTCTTAAAAGGTTTATTTACAAGCCAAATTAGTGCAATGTAAATATTTACTGTTTCACAGCATTCTATCGGGTAAGACGGAATCGTAATCTTATAGCTAAAATAAAAATGCGATGACTAACTGGAATGTTTAAGATTAGAGAAACATAATATGTCATGTTTATTGGAAATACTCGACATTATTAGCACGTGCAAATCCTACCCTGTCGCCCAATTTCTTATGAAATTAAAATGGTGCATGTTTTTAGGATCCATTTATTTTTTCGGGCATGCGTATTTACGAGGTCCACGAGATTTTGAAACATCTATTCTTTAATTATTTTTACTATAATTGCCTTAGTAGTCGCTGCGTTTTGATTTGGTTTGAGTCTTCTTACAAACTCCTTCTGATGACGGGTAGACCCAGAAACACGTGTCAGGGAGTGGTAAGAGACTCAAATTAAATCGAAACGCAACCGTCATTTATTTTGAAGAAATAAATATTGAGGAATAGGTAAAGGAACCATGAAGGAAATTAAAAAATAGAAAATCACCAGGAGAGGACAGAATACCGACCGAACTCCTAAAGTACGGAGGACCAGATCCGACCAAACAACTATTAAAACTAATCCAAAAAGTAATTGAACAAAACAGAATTCCTCAAGAATGGAGATCAAGCATCCTAATTCATCTCTTCAAAAAGGGAGACAAATCGGACCCGGAAAATTACAGAAAAATTAATTTATTAAACACAACACTAAAATTAACAACAAAAGTGATAACAAATTAATCGAATGATATTATAACACTAGTAGAAGAACAACAAGATTTTAGGTCTGGAAAATCATGCACCGACGCTATATTTATAATCAAGCAAGTGCAAGAGAAATCATTAGAATACAACAAACCGGCATATCTATGTTTCGTGGACCTCACAAGGGCATTTGACCGGGTCAAATTAAAAGAAGTTTTCCACTTACTGTATGCAAGAGAGATACCTCTAGGAATAATCAAAACGATCGAAAATATCTACCAAAACAACACAATAAAAGTAAAAGTAGAAGAAAAACTAACCGACCTATTGAAGCTGGCCATGGGAGACAGGAAGATTTCCTGAGTCCTTTATTGTTCAACCTGATTATGGATGAAATAATAAAAAAGTAAGAACTAAAAAAGGATACCATCATCATCACCCAGCCCTTTGCGTCCACTGCTGGACATAGGCCTCCCTAATTTTTGTCCATTGTGCTCTGTCTTGAGCACTTTTCATCCAATTTCTTGACATGTTCTTGAGATCGTCAGTCCATCGTGTAGGGGGTCTTCCCCTACTTCTTTTGTCTAATCTCGGCCTCCACTCAAGCAATCTCTTCGTCCACCTTTCGTCACTGATTCGGGCGACGTGTCCGGCCCAGTTCCATTTTAGTGTGGCAATTCGGGAAATTACATCGGTAACTCCTGTTCTTCGTCTTAAGTCTTCATTTCTAACTCGGTCACGAAGCGATATACTCAGCATTGATCTTTCCATTTTCCTCTGAGCTATTTGCAGCGTTTTAGAACTTGTAGCTGTCAATGTCAAAGTTTCGGCACCATAGGTCATCACAGGCAGCACACATTGGCCAAATGTTTTACGTTTTAAAGAAATTGGTTATATCGCTTTTAAAGATGTCTTTGAGTTTTTCCATAGGCTGCCCATGCTAGGTTTATTCTTCTTCGTAGTTCGCATGTTTGGTTGTCTCTTGTGATCTTTATTTCGCGTTCAAAAGAAACAGACTAATGATTTAAATTTAATGAGAAACTAAAATACAAAATTCTGACAATAACCAAAAATTACAATAAAATATCTAGTCATTTTGCGCGCAAGGTCCGCAATTTTTCTTTGTACACTGTAAGCACACTGGTTTTCCACAAGAAAAGCATCACATAAAAAGTCTTTCGCTTTAATGCACTTGGGCATAAGTAACACGTCTTCTTTTTCTCAAGCCTTTCTTCAAAATCTGCTTCTTTTTGGCGTTTTTGTCCTAGTATTCGTTCAATACCACATAATAATTCTCTCGGGATTCTGGGATTTTCGAGTCTTCTTTGTAGATGAGGTAAAACTAATTGTTTCGCCAACTCCTTTGTGTAGTTTAGCCTTTCCATATTATCTTCTTGTAGTGATTGGTACACAACATGCGAATTAACAGCAGCTATATCAATGATGCGGTAAAAAATAGTAAGTGGCCATCGGCGAGAACGACGTTTTACAGAATATTTGGCACACTTGGCATCTAAAGTATCGACACCACTCCTTTCGTACGATTATAATGAGCTATAATTTCTGGTTTTCCAGTAATCTGATCCATGCCTATTGAATGGTGCATTGAAGAAATAAGTAAAACAGCCCTCGATATTTTTTGGCACATGGAAAATTAGGGATAAACTTTTCGTAAATCCGTAAGTAGTTGAATTTACTTGCCTGCATCAGTGTGGCTGGAATTCCGGAGGGATTTCCCGTTTTTTTTCTTGCTTCAAAGCCAGTTGCTTCAAACAAGGTTTTACGAAGAGGTTTTATGCATTCTTGGTCTAAGGGCATCCGGTTGGAATGCTGAGAGTCTATGGTTTGCAACATAAGGCTATAAGAGTTCTTACAGGCTTTGGGTTTAGGGATGATTGCAGATTGGCCTAGGCGACCCTAGGAATTCTTAATATGTATATCTCCTTGTATATCTTTGAGAACTTTATGTCTGTTATGTTTGTTCCAGCCTACTAGAGGCTAAACTGGCAGAGTACTTTAAATTTTAGAACAAATTGCCTGATAACTTCCCACAATTCAATTTAAAAGTAAAATTAAGGAAATTGTAATAAAAAATATATTTACAGTAGTGAGGAACATCTGAAATTTCAATTTTAAACTATTTTAAGTTAAATTGATACATGTTTTTTTATTTTTTTTTTATGTACCTAACTAGAATTTAAAATTTTTTAATAGAACTATTGTTTTGCTTTTATTTTTGAGGTGTGTTAGGGTATTGGCAAACTTATGTCAATAAATGAATTTGAATCATCATCATTCTTTTTGCATCAAATCCATCATATCTTGTGGGGTCAGCTACCTTAATTATATTTCCATACAGTTATATTTCCATATAACCATGTTTTAATCTTGTGTCATACCAATATCAATCCCCTTTACAGATGTGCCCTGACTAAGCATCTCTCACAGGTCTTCTTTGGCCTTCGTCTCCTAGTCCTCCTAGGAACTTTTAAACCAGCAATTCTTTTTATTCATCCTAACTGATGCTCTCTCATTTTGGCAGCAATCGGTGCCAGCACCAGACTTCCCGTCAGGGACTCACTCTTAATTTTATCCTTTTTTCACAGCAATATTCAATTCTGTACACCATAGTTGGTCTTATGACAGTTTTATATAATTTCTAACCACAATACGCCACTTCTCCCTTCCATTTCATCCAACCTATTGCAATTCTACTCCATGCATCTCCATCTATTTCTCCATTGCTCTTCAACACAAATGCTAACTACTTAAAACTATAACTTTTTACAATAATTTCTGTGATATACAAATTTATTTTTATATAAAAATAAATAACAAAATTTTGGATTATCTCTTAGATTAGTCATTTGTTACAACTCTCCCTAATTTATGAAGACTAGTATTGAAGAAATTACAATCTACATTTTGCATTCCAAGTTTGCAGTCTATACATTCTGGATATACAACTTTTTACACCATAATTTGTGCTATGAAACTCTCTTGCTAACTTGTTAATCTCTGTGAAACTTTCATTTTAAAAGCTAAAGCAATTCTGCAAAAATACTGTTCATTATTTTAACTAATGTTATTATTGGTATTCTACATTCTGTCTAGATTTAAGTTTAAAATAATAGGTCAACAGTTTAACATTTTGGTGTGTTGGATGATTGCCATGACGTTTATTTTACTGTATTTGATAATTAGAGCTGTAGATACTGTATTTGATAATGAGATTTTGTTTATGAATATAATAGTCTTAAATGAGCTTCTTACCTTGATATATAATGTCCAAATACATAATTTAAATCCGGATTATTAATCATTTCATAAAACTCCTCAAAATCCAATTTTTTATCAGAGTTTCTGTCATGCATCCCCAAAATTTTCTTAATACAATGCTGAGGTATATCTTCTTCATATTCCCGGCTTTCTATTATGTCTGTTAATTCTCTTACAGAAATAAAACCATCTCTGTTTCTGTCGTACTAGAAAAGAAATGAGTACATAGTAAATCTACATTTTAATATCAAATATAGTCTATTTACCTTGTTAAATATTGCTTTGTAAAACTCCTTTGATTTAAGGGGAATTTGTACATTTTCTCCCATTATTTAATATTTAAATAATAACAATAAAATTAACTTGTTTCACTACCGAACTGGTTAAAATATGGAATACTATTAAAATCGAGGTTTGTTATGAATCAGCCATTCACAATAGCAACAAGTTTACGTATTTACCTGTTCTATTAGTCATTAGTCATTAAAATAAGCTGAAGTTACCAATTCAATTATTAAACAATGTTAAAACTCCTTCCTTAAACCCCCCCTATGTTTATTTTTATACAAAAACAGTTATCTTAGAAACGGCAAATGTATGTCAACATTCTCACGACTGTAAACACCTGACCTGACACAACATCCAACATCTACCATCGATAGATGGCGCAGGTTTTTTTAACAACCAATATTATGCCATGTAAAAAATGTTCTATCAAATAAAAGTTAATATTTTAAATTTGACAGTCTAATTTTTGGTGGCAGCGCTATTAAAAATTTTAAAATTTTGACAGTCTAAATTTTGGCGGGTACGCTGTTTTAAAAATATAATACCATCTACTACGGCAAATGAAAGTAGTATTATTATTAATATAATCTGAAAACTTTTTAACCATTACTGTTTCTTTGTTACTTATTAGGAGTTATTACAGAGAACTTATTTATAGTTCTTTGGTTATTATTTACTAGTAATAAGAAAATAATCTAATCCAGAAGCACCACCTATCACGAACCGTTCAAACTAGCAAATATAATACCAGAAATCTATTTTAACAAAACTGCCTAAAGTAAATATTGCACAAATATTTAACATAATAAGGTTGTAGTTGAAAATATGATTAACGTCATTGTTATTATATTAATTTTTAGAAAGCTCAAAAACAAGCTACATTCAAAAATATTTGGTTTCATCTGTTTATCCTGAATTGTTTGGTTTATGCTTCCCTACAGACAACGTAGAAAAATGTACGACCAACGAAATAACTTTACAAACCATCTAATAGATGGCAGCAGCTATCAAGTTAAGTTTTCTATCAATAGGTGGCGCTGCAAAATTCTCGCAAATGTCAGAATTTTTTTTAAATTGTCTGACCGACGTATAAATGCTTGGAGTTTATATAATTTTTAGGTCTTAGGATTAGAAATAAAACTAGAGTAATATTATTAAAATGTATTGCTAAATAATTTGTATATAAATATCTAGGATTAAAAATCAATATAGTTATACAACTGTAGCATTTTTAGTAGATATCCCTAGTCCAAATTTTTCTAAAATAAAAAATTGAAACTATACTGTGTCTAATATTAGGTACACTGATATATACATAACTGTTTTTTCAAACCCTGATTAGTACAATGTTATATATACCTATAAAAAGGAAAGAAAACAAAAATGTTTTAGAAGAGGATTTAAGAAATAAATATATAGGACGAACTTCTTGAGATAATAAACTAAAGAAAATAACATGGAAACAAGCAAAAACATATAAGAGCGAATGATAGTAAGAGAACACAACAAAAATATAGTCAAGCAATTAACGACATGTGCAAATATTCTGGAAGGGAAATGATGAACCAGAAATATTATGTAAATTATCAATCAATAAAAATAGTATTTTAAATTAACGATATAAAGTTTTATTAAGTAGAATAAGTCTTTAGGAGACATTATAGGATAGATTTCAATATATCCTGAATATCTTCAGAGTAGTCTGAGTTGTTAAATGTTGACTTTAACATTCCAAACTGGTTAAACTTTGAGAGACTTCAAAAATATTCCAGAACAGTTCTAAATTATTCCAGGCTGTCCTTAAGTCTTATCAATATTCTATCGTAGTTCTGACATATTCCAGACTGCCTTTCGGAAGCTCGTATACACAACAATTTGAAAATAAGATGAAGAAAAAACAAAATAAAGAGAGAATATTCAAATCCAATAACATTTTTGTATTCCCCAAAAGATTAATCCATATATATTAACATCAGTATGGTTTCCAACCAATAAAAAATCTAAACCTACCTAAATTTCTACCTACCTAACAAAAAATAGCACCATAGGAATTTTTTTGCATGTAACATGTAGGTATTTATATAAAAATTAATGCCTCTAAAAGGAGGTACACGTAGGCAACTTAAATAAAGCGAAATATAACGGTGTGTATAAATGTGTAACAAAAAAGTTATCCGATTAGGCGAACCAAGCCATGCAATCCGTGTAACACATTTTTTAATTGAGAGATATATGTAACAGACAATTACTTAGAATGTATCCACGATTTCTAGTCTTACAAGTCGTAGGGGAGAAGGTGGAAATGGCGCTCAGTGGGGAATGACGCTCACCACAGTTTACCTAGCTCAGTCGAGTTTACTACGTCCCGTTTGATGTCATTGCCTCCTCGGAGCCCTCCCGAACTAATCGGAAGCATAACTGTGTCGATATTTAGCATCGGTCGGCGGTTCTGACAGAAAACGTGAAATTTTGTGATTTTACTGTAATATTTTTGTCGCAAATATCTGAAGGTAAGTTGTAACAACGTTATTTTGTAGTATTACATCATATACTTATTCGATGAGATGTGTCTTGGATGTATTTTAGCATGAACACTATTTACTTATTGTAACCTAGAAAAATTGTGTCTCCATATTTGTTGAAGCTTTCAGTTTGGGGCAATTCCGCTCAAGCTGATCGTGATTACCCCGTTAGAGAGCGGCATTATCCCAACTGGTATTTGGCTGTTAATCTTAAAAATTATGATTAATTATACATAATTATTTGGTTTCAGATGGTTCGTAATAGAAAAAGGACAACCACTAAAGCACAATGGTCACCAGAAGTAATGATAGCTGCCATAGAAGCTGTGAGGTCCGGAAGAAAAATTAGGGAAGTGACACGTACTTTCCAAGTGCCATACAGTTCCCTTCGAGATAGACTTAAAGATAATTATTATGACCCTCGACTCGGAAGAAGGTCCACATTTTCTACAGAACAAGAAAGGTTAATTCAGAGTCATGTTTTAAAATTATCAAATCAATTTTACGGACTTACAGCTCTTGAATTCAGAAGGATTGCTTTTCAATTTGCGAAAGCAAATAACATAAAAAATATGTTTAATGAAGCAACTCAGTTAGCAGGGAAAGATTGGCTATATAGATTTTTAAAAAGAAATCCACAAATTAGCCTTAGAAAGCCAGAGGGAACTAGTCTTAACCGAGTTAAAGGGTTTTCTAAGGAAAAACGTAGCAACATTTTTTCGTAACTTGGAAAATGTCATGGAATGCTATAAATTTGATCCTTCATCGATTTACAATATGTATGAGACAGGGATTAGTACGGTGCATAAGCCCATACAAATACTAGCACCCAGAGGACAAAAACAGGTAGGGATAGTGACAAGTGGAGAACGCGGCCAAACCACCACCGTTTGCTGTGCGTTTAGTGCTTCTGGAGCTTTTATTCCTCCCATGTTTATATTCGCAAGGAAAAGAATGACTCCTCAGCTACAAAAAAATGGACCCCCTGGATCAATATACAAATGCTCAAAATCTGGTTGGATCACGGAGGAATTGTTTTGTGAGTGGTTAAAACATTTTACAAAACATTCAAATGCTACAAACGACAATCCCGTTCTTTGATTACCGACAATCACAGCAGCCATATTTCTCTCGATTGTTACAACTTCTGCCGTGAAAATGGAATATTTCTACTCTCTATCCCTCCACATACCTCGCATCGACTACAGCCTTTGGATATTTGTTTTTACGGTCCTCTAAAAAAAACTTACAATCGTGAATGCGATTTATTTATGAAATCAAAACCTTTAGAAAAAATAACAAATTATGAGATTGCTGAATTATTCAACAAGGCCTATGGAAAAGTTGCCTCGATTGAAAAGGCTATTAAAGGGTTTAGTTCTGCCGGTATATATCCTTTAAACCCCTTCATATTCAATGACGATTTTCCAGATTTTAATGATCAAGAAAATGACCATACTGTGGATAACACGACAAATACTGTCGCAGATGAACAGCAGCCTTCTACCAGTAGAACAATTTCCCATTCTGTAAATAGAATAACCAATGATTCATCCAATGATGGAAAATCCTCTAACAAAAATAGCGGAAATGCTGCTACCGATAAACTTCAAGCCCTTGAAACATCATTACATAATATCCACACCTCTTCCTACAATACACAATAGAGCAAATAAAAGGCAAGTTGATAGAAAGAAACTGACATCTACAATACTAACATCAACACCAATGAAAGATTTTTTGAGCGCAGTTCCCCCCTGCTCCCTTACTTGTACTTAGTAAGTCTACGAACCGTGGAATGTATCAGACTATTTTCCTGGTCACATAAAAGATTCGGAAATTCCTTTATGACGGTAAGAACATACGCCAACGCAGCTATCAACTCAAATCTGGTATTACTCTTCTGCTACGTGGTTACAGCTATATGTTGCACTTCATTGGTTTGTCTTTTTGCTCGATGGTCAAACCGAACATTACGATTATCTTTTGTTGCATTTTCATACACACCTCTTGTTTAACAATTTGTATCTAACATTTAAACATAGTAACAAAACGTTTTTCATAAATTAAGTTTTAGCAGGATGTGGAGTACAATAATAGGTGCAGAATTGTGACGGTTTTGGTTGAATCAACTTTTAATACGCATATGTTATTACAAACACTGCAAAAATTGAATATATACGCAAAATAGAGTTTGAAAACATTTTCCTGCAGCCTAGAGTTTTCTTTTCCTACAAATTACGTTACACATCAACCATGGCGAATATATCTAAGTAGAGTTATAAACTGAAAGCTATTTATAAGAGTATTCATAAGCATAATTGAAAAAGTTTGAGGTCAAAATTAATTTAATTTGAATTTGAAATGCAAAAACAAAACATTAAAACTAGAAAAATGATACCTACGTATAATTGTTGAAAGCCTATTCTTAATGTAAGTTAAATGTGATTAGTTATTATTATATATTTATATTTTGGCAATTTCCTACATATTTCGATTATTTTGAAATGACATTGCACAATTTTAAGCACATAAACTGATCAATTGATCCATGACGTGCAACGAAGTTTGTAGGAAAAACGAAATATAATGATAACATTCAAGTCAATTAGCACATTAATAAGTAATTTACTATTTTGACACAGTCACATTTATTACCCGATATTAATGTAATCAAATACAATGTCCCAGTCTTATTTAGAACCACCAGAAATGATATAGTATATTACATAACGAGAGTTGTAAGAAGCTTATTACATGCGAGTAAAAAAGTTGCGCGCGAGCCGCGTAGCGGCGAGCGCAGTAATTTTACGAGCATGTAATAAGCTTACAACTCAAGTTGTGTACTATACTTTTTCTACCATTATTTTCGTTTATAAAAATAAAAATTAAATTACCACTATATTTACACTGACAGTTTAATAATTTTTAATCTGTCAAAATAACGTCTGTTAATTCGTTTCCATGGTAACTCGACCAACTGTCTTACGAGGCTTATGTGATATTACACATTTTTATAAAACTGAAGCGTAATTTTTTTTATTACGTGCTAGTCATTACGTGTCAGTATCTGTTATGATGCATTTACTTAGCATCCAAATAGTAGGTAATATACAATTTACTAGTACGAGAGTAGAAAAAATTATTAACGAGATTCAAAAGTAGGCAACCAGTGTTACACTATAAACGAAAATGTTACTGTATACTAAGGTCTTTTAGCATTCTTTGCATGGACGTATAAATACGTCCATGATTCTTTGTTTAATAATCTCAACATTGCTGATAATGTTGCTAACATGGTATATGTATATATTTTCTAACTTTCTAGCACTAATAGAACAATGTAAGTATGTGTTCTAACTATGTTTACAGAAAAATATTTTCATACACATTTATCTAAAATGCAGGTAATCCTTTTGATTTTGTTTTTTATTTTTAATTTTCATTTTTGATTTAGGACTTGGCCATTGACACAGGAGCAGGTATCCTAGTCATGTGATTGTCAGTTCTAGAATCCTTTCTGGGACTTCTGAACGACATTCTCTCTGTTGACGTTCTCGTCGGTAAAATGGGTAGGCTGAGAGGTTCGTCGTCGTTTAACGTGTTTAGACTACCGAACTTCTTGAGCAACATTTGGACCTGCAGGGCGACAGCTTCGTCCGAGTCGGCTTTATTCACGGCTTGTAGAAGTTCCTGCCTTAGTTTGCTTTTAGTGGGGGATGTATTGGTTGAAGAAGACCTCCTTTCTAGACCCGAAACACTTCTTCGCACTAAAAATTTAAAATAATTAGATAAATATTAAAAGTAGATATAGATATATATATATATATATATATATATATATATATATATATATATATATATATATATATATATATATTTAGCTATCAGAAAATATTAAGAAATAGCAATATCTTTAATAAAATCTTTCTTATAAAAATAATTCCCAAAATACTTCTGTAGCTTCAACTTCTTTCAACTTACGTACATATATATACATATATATATATATATATATATATAATATATATATATATTATATATATATATATATATATATATATATATATATACGTACATATATATATATATATATATATATTATATTGTACATATATAGACGCCACGGATTTTAGGCAATTCTAAACTTAAAATCAATTGACATTTGATCGGGTAGACCTTTTATGAAGGGTGTATACCTTATATCCATGTTTTAGTTATTAAGATCTTTTTTTTTCTTTTCTGAAATTTCTTAAAACCGTACCAGGTTAACCCATTCCTCCAGGATGGCTGGCGTGTGTTGGATTCAAGGTAGAGGAGTACATTCGAGCCTATTTCCCCCTAGAAGTAGGTCCTGCAGACGGATGTCTTCTGCTATCCTGCCTATTAACTAAAACCACCCTCTTCTACTTGTGCGCAGTTGACTGTCGCACCTACCGTACTTCGAAAGTTGGATGGCCGCTATAAGGCTGAAGACATTTTCGGAGCTCTCGCATTTCTTATCTAGTTCATATCCCTGTCGTTGGTCCGGCTGGTGTTTCTATTTTTCTTCTTTCTTTTTAATGACTGCTCGGATGTAATTGTGTACACTATTCCATCCCTCAACGATCATCTCTCTCACAGTCATTCTGGTTGTCATACACACATACATTCTGGTTGTCTCCACTGTCCATCCATTACACTCCAGCATTGTGTAAGTAACAATCAGGGAGTATTCGCAGTATAGTCATTTATCTGTACCGGTATTTCTAAACCTATGAAGATACGCTCTAAAACACCCATGTCCTGTGAGCACTTGCGTCAGGAATAGTCCAGTCGTCTGTGATCACACTCCACCTAGTCCCTTAGGCTCGGGATCAGCATCTTAGTCCATTGGGCATCTTCCGTGTTGTTCCACTCGTCTTGCCATCTTTCCATTGATATTTCCCTTTCTTCTTTTTTTATAGCTGTTGTCAAATGCTCACTTCTCTCAGAGAGATGTCTCTTTTCTACTGTTAACACATGCAGAGGAACACAACCCGTAATAGTCTACAAGGCTGCCTCAGATACAGAACTGTAGACGCATGCTACTCGCAACAGACTAGTTCTGTCTATTTATATCATGAGCCCCTTGTAGGTCAGTATTTCCAGTTATTAAGATCTAGAGTTTGGGTAACGAGCAGAAACTTTTTGCTTGGCTTAGTATACTTTCTTGGAATACTGGCTTGGAATACTTTCTTAGTAGACTCATTTCCTCATTTTGGGACATCTTTCATGATATGACTTTTTGGGACACTGCAGATTGGTTCTGATATGATAAAATGAGTATTAGCTCCTTCTTTAGTAGGATTACTATCAATCTTGTTACTAGCGATTCGCTTATGCCTTGACACCCATAACCGTTGTGTCTTGTTGTGTTTCGCTACTTACTTAAGAGGTTGGTTGCAGTTTTAAGCAGTTATAGACTCACAATTTGTGATTAGTGTCTAGTTTCGAGAAAGTAAGCAGAACTTAAAAGTTTTGTAGTAAATGACACAAATATATATATATATATATATATATATATATATATATATATATATATATATATATATATATATATATCCGGTTTTTTTAGGCGTTACGCCCGTCCGGTAGGGATCTATGGAGGAGTATCACCGAGCCGCAAGCCCTTATCTCTTGCCGTACTGCTCCACCATAGGCCGATCAGAACCCAGCATATCCTAGTCTAAGCCGCAGATTCATCTAGAATTTTAAACTGCTGCGTTAGACTTTTTGTTTTCTGTACACCGAGCTGGGGCTCGACCCACATCCACTAAACCATTCGACAGTGAAGCGAATGAGAGGCAGCCGCACAGCCCGCTGAGCTATCTGACCGACAAATGACACAAATAATGAGATATAAATAAAAACATTGTGATTGAAACATGAATTTTGGCTAGAAATAAAAAACGTACATGAGTTACAATGAGCATGTACTGAAAGAATCACAGTTATGAGTATTATCATTATAAAATACCTACTAGTTTAGAAAGAATCATGTTTACGAAGCTATTGTTTTTCTGCTCTAAATGAAGTTAGAATATATGAATAAATCTAGAAAGAATCCTAGTACAACAAAAAATATATTTTTTGTATCTACCCATTAGTATCTACCTTACTAATATAGAGTCATCGACACATTGCTAAGTCATATCAAGAACATAGTAGTTGGAATAAGATGATTAATTACTCTTTCATAAGACTAGTTTTCTCGAACATTTATCCCATCATGATAAATTCAATAATAGAAGATGATGTGAAAAAATAAATCAGCCAATCGCGTCCACTGCTGGACATAGGCCTCCCTAAGTTTTTTCCAGTGTTCTCTACACTGGGCCCCTTGTAGCCAGTTTCCCGCTACACGTTTTATATCATCGGTCCATCTAGTCGGTGGAGCTCCTCGGCTTCATTTATAGTTTCTGGGCCTCCATTCCATAATACGTCTTGTCCACCGTCCATCTTGTGTTCTGGCTAAGTGACCTGCCCAGTATCACTTAAGCGTTGTGCTTCTGTCGATGACGTCTTGAACTCCTGATCTTTGCCTGATTTGTTGGTTTGTTATGTGGTCTCGAAGGCTCACGTTCAGCATTGCACGTTCCATGGCTCGTTGTGTAACTCTGAGTTTATTCGAAGATTTTTGAGTGAGTGTTAAAGTCTCTGCTCCATAAGTTTGTACAGGCGAAACACGTTGGTTATAAACCTTTTGCTTGAGACACATGTGAATTCAACTTTTTAGAATATTTGATAGTATACAAGGCAACTATCGAACACAGTGTTTAATTAAATCTTGCCCAATGTATTTTCGATCAATAGATCATCTTCAGGGGCATTTCGTCAGTTGTGGCCTATCCGACATGAGTAGAATGTCATACATGTAAATTTGGACATAACAATACAATACACAAAGACAAACAAACACTTTAAAATGTTTTAAAAAGGAGAAGCTACATGTTATATAGAAGCCGGAGACAGAATCATTCTGTCTCCGGTTAAACCAAAATATACGGTTACGCTTTCAAGGGCTTTACCACTTAATATTTTTAAATCACTGGAGTAGATTAAAAATAAAATCGTATTCAAATCTTCGTAATTTTCTCTAGAATTTACAGTTATTGGCGACACGTAATGTAATTCATGCATTAAACTCAAAAAATATCGACAGTAGCAAATACCCAACAGACCTACATGGCTTCTTCCATAAACATCAATATATGCAAGATTGATCTAACTCACCGTAATGAAACTATACTAAAGGACTCACAATAGTAATAATTTTTTAGGTTAATAATTTATACAAACTTTATCTGTACACAAACTTATATTGTAATCTTTGAATCCCGCTAATATTTCATGGTTAATGCGGCTTTGTGTAAATAAAAAATTACCTGTTGAGTTTCTAGCGAAAGGTTGGAAAGTGTCTTGGCTAATGCTAGCTCTAGAAGCCTTAGGCCTTCCACTCCAGGTACTAATTTTAGAATCAACTTTCTTGGGTTGCGATGGTGTTCTCTTTGGACTCTTTTGGACATCTATATTAGCTTCAGAGCTATTGCTTCTACTGTATGACTTTCTTCGGATTTGCACGCCCTCCTTCGTTGTGGAGAAAGATCGTTCTTTCTTTTTAGGACTAAGGGTTTCGTTAGTTGTGGTTTCTGGAGATGAACTGGACGATTCTGACAATTTATCTATTGCGTGACGGGTTTTTTCTAGGATGGTTTTGGTATCGTTTTCGTAAATCCGTTGGGAAAATTGAGTTCTTCTGAGACCAAACTCGTTGAGGTCGTCGTCTACATAAACTTGATGCTCTAGAATATAATAAATTAATGATAATATAAGTGTGCAAAGATGAACAAGGTAGTGAACGAAAGTGAAAAATATGGTCTTAAAATTATAAATACACCCAAATGTATTTTGGGTTGCATCTATGGAAATATCTGTTCTTTACACTATGTTTCACGCCATTTGCAGCGTTACCACATTTGGTAAATTTCTACTTTTTTGCTAGATTTTTGATATTTTTAAAAAAAATCTAGGCAATATTTTTTAGTAGATTTTTGGTAGATTTCAACATTTTGTTATGCCTAAAATGATACTTGCTTTTTAATAATATTTACCACATTATGTCCCATTTGGCACAGTTCAGCAGATACAGAACAAATTGGTTAAGTGAAGCTGATTTTTATTCTGTACTTAGGTTAAGTTACATTTAAGTTGTTTTTTTATGTTTTGTTATTGTTAATTGTCATTGTCCATTAAAACCAAGATCATGTCGTTGCTTTTAATCATTATTTAAATATAGTGTTTCTGGGATGTCGATATAAATTTCTTTGATATCAGTCACCAAAGCCTCCATCGTCGTATTACAAATTAATACAAAAGATAATGGAACAATAGGAATGCGCCACTTGCTGCCAGTGAAAATACAATCATTTACCATAAGTCCGTTTGCCTACTATTCGGATTTCAAGGTTTTCTTAGTTATTCAAGGTGATTTTTTAAAAGTTTGGTTCCTTTAACATTCATCGCATTTTTCTTGATCTGTCAGAATTTCTATATATAAATTTATATATTGAGTAAGTTTCAATTTCACTTTGGCATTATCCATGTTTTTAACTGAAGAAAAATTCTACATAATGTGACCATACTTATAATTGCTACAATATTATGACTTTCGAAAAAGTGTTAACTTACCGTTTTCTTCAGCATCCTCTGTAGAATTTTGACTGTACACGGACGACCTTTGTTTGGTTCTATCGTGAATTAAACCTAAGCTTCGATAACCTTCGTCAGACACTTCAGATGTAGTGTCACTATGATCTGTATCGTTTACGTGTAAACTAACTTCTGATTTAAGAACCTAAAACAACAATTTGATATTTTAAAAGTTAATAATACTTTTACCAACAAATCTAGACACATATTGGCTATATTGTATGTAGACGCATGCGTCTACATTTCTTGCTTTTAATGAAAATATTTAAAAAATATGACATGTGACAAGTAGCTGACACATAACGGGGGTAGTGACAATTGACAAATAGCTGACGTAATGTCGCTCTCGTCAATAATACCGGAAACGTAAGTTAATTTAGATGGTACATTTTATTAGGATAAATTCAGACTAGTTTTTGGTGAATAAACACGTTCCCAATATTAATCAAATCTGAAATTTAATCCAAAGCTTAGTTAGCAGTTTTAAAATCAAATACGTGATTTCAGTAGTGAACAGAACAACTGGAAGAATAAATTCGAAAAAGAAAATTTAGGCAAGAAATATCGTTTTTAAAGAAATAAAAACAACAATATGTCTAAAATAATATATGGTTGAGAGGCATAATTTTAGGAAAAATGGACAAATAATAATAATAATAATAATAATAATAAGATCAGAACACGACGGGGTACCAACATCGGAAGGACTGGTAACAGAATAGCACTCTGGGAAAAACGACTGCTGAAGAAGATCGAATTACTGCGTAGGGACATTGGACAAATAACAGAGTACATAAGAAGAGTAAGAAGTAGAAAAATCATCAAAAGAGCTGAAGAAATATTGTTTAACACTCTAAGACACTCACGATATGATCCAGAAAACAACACACCTCAACAATGCCTGGACACATTAAAACAAAAACTATCTGCTTACTCAGGCCGCCTGAGAGATACAAAGTTAGTAACAACCGGAAATGCGACAATATACTTTTTGAGCAAGCAGAGAAAACTTTCTATAGGAAACTTAATTCCACTGTAGAAGACGCAAATAAATCCTACCCAAGCCAAGAAGAAATTCATGAGTTTTGGGGAAACCAACTTTCGACGCCAGCTACCCATAACAACAATGCTGGATGGATTGAAGACACCACGAACAAATGTCAACACTACAGGAATATTCCTTATGAACCTTTCACCACTGAAGAAGTCTCGAACATTATCAAAGAGCTTCATAACTGGAAATCTCCTGGACCGGACGGAGTTCAAAACTTCTGGCTAAAGAAGTTTTGGAGTGTTCATGAGCTTTTAACAGTATTAATTAATAATATTATTTCTAATTCACAGGAAATACCATCATTCCTTACTCAGGGAACCACTTATCTAATACCGAAGGATCAAAATAACACCCAAGATCCAGCCAAGTACCGCCCAATTACTTGTCTTCCAACTTTGTACAAATTGGTCACATCCTGTGTGGCCCGGCGTATCTACCAACACTGTGCTCTGAACAATATCATAGAGCCCCAACAGAAAGGATGCGCTAAGGGCTCCATGGGATGCAAAGAACAACTTATTATCGACTCAGTCATTTCTAACCAGGCATACAACAAAAAAGAAACCTTTTGCTGCCTTCATTGACTACAAGAAGGCTTTTGATTCAGTGCCGCATGAATGGCTTATAGATATATTGAAAATATATAAAGTCGATGATAATCTCGTGACCTTTTTGAAGCATATAATGGCAGAGTGGAAGACTAAAATTCACCTTCAAATACCTGGTGAAATCAATATCGAAACTGAAGATATCCATATTAACCAGGGCCTTTTCCAGGGGACTCGTTGAGTCCACTTTGGTTCTGCCTAGCGATGAACCCACTATCTCAGCTGATGAACTCCTACTGACTCAGGTTTTGGCATCAAAAATAACAACACTGTTGTAGCGAAGCTTAATCATCTGTTGTATATTGATGATTTAAAATTAATGGCTTCCACTCGAAATCATCTTAGATCAGATGCTAAAAACTGTAGAAACTTTCTCAAATGATATCAGTATGCATTTTGGACTAGACATGTGCCGTATACTAAATATAGTCAGAGGAAAGGTTCAGCCCGGGGTTTCGATATGCAAGAATGGCCTAAACATCGAGGCAATGGGTGAAAATGATATGTAGAAATATCTCGGAGTAAAACAAGCGCGGAAAATTGACCATAAACAAATGAAAACGGAACTAACTTCGGAGTTCGTGCGAAGAGTAAGACAACTAAATCGATCATATCTTAATAGTAAAAATTTGTTTAAGGCATTAAATACGTACGCATGTTCCGCGCTGAGCTACTCATTTGGTATTATAAAGTGGTCTAAAACGGATATAGAGGGTCTTCAGCGAAAGTAAGAACACTTCTCACAAAGGCGCAAAAACATCATCCTCGTAGTGCAGTAGAGAGAACAACATTACCGCAGTATTCAGGGGAAGAGGACTTTATAAGATATCATTATTTTCAGGTACAGGCTGGAGACATGTAGTCTTACATCGAGCGATTTGCGTAGTAGATGATACGACCCCGCTTAAACTGAGGGAACAAGAAATGCGCATAAACCACCTGACTCAGCAAGAAAAATGCGCACCTGGATGAGTAAACCTCTGCATGGGCGACATCTCAATAAGATCAATCAAGAATATGTCGACAATACAGCGTCAAACTATTGGTTGACATCAGAAAAGATGTTTACTTTATCAGCAAGATACTTGCCATTCAGGATCAGGTTATATCCAACTAAAAATTACCTGAAATATATTTTTAAAGATCCTCAGGTCCAAAATGACAAATGCCGATATGGATGCCAAGCCCAAGAAACCATCCAACATCTTACCGGTGGCTGCCAGGCATTTCTCGGTACTGATTATAAAGAAACGCCATGACTCAGTGGGAAATATTATCCACCAAGAACTAGCTGACAAACTGGGACTTCTCCAAACGACCATCTTCCTTATTATCAATACGTCCCTGATATAATGCTTGAAAATGACAACTACAAGCTATACTGGGGCCGCACTGTACTTACAGACCAACCAGTGGCCCATAATACACCGGATCTCATACTAGTTAATAAACTTACTAGACAAACAACACTTATTGATGTGGCGATACCCAACACCAATAATTTAGGTGTTAAATACAACGAAAAGATCGCCAAGTACAGAGATCTAGAAATACAAATCAGGAGTGAATGGAGAATGGAAAGTACCCAGACACTACCTATTGTTCTACTACTGGTGTTATTCCCAAAAACCTCCTAGCGAACATAAAATAGCTGGGTCTAAATGAACATCTTTACTAAGACCATGCAGAAAGCTGTACTCCTCGCGACGTCCAGATGTGTACGAAAATTTTTGGGAGATACTCCAACATACCAAGTCACCTAGGGCTCGATAACACGGAAAAAGTCCCACCAGAGCTCAATCCTTTTGATACCGTAGGTATCTGGGATGAGTGAATTTTCCCCTTAGAGGGAGTGTGAGCCGTATGGCTAAATCTGGGAATAATAATAATAATAATATAATAAATGTTGATCATCCTACTTTACTGTACCCGTATATTTATTGTTATTCTTTACCTTATCCGGAATTTGGATGCTACTGACAACATTCTTCGATTTATGATTCGTCATAATCGGCAACGACTGTGGACCATAATTTTTATGCTGTGGACTCCTATTACTGGACAACTTGGTGTTGAGGTTTGATGTGTAATTTGGCGTCGGACTCCTTGATCTGGTCGGTGGTGGAACCAGAGATCGTCTTGTAGAGAGATTGGGACTAAGGGACCGTTTTGGTGAGCGAGATCTTGAACGATTCAGAGAGTTCATTGGAGGACCTAGAGAATGTGGACCGCTGGATCCGTAAGAATTCCCTGCGTCTGGAATTGATGCAGCTGATCTAAAATTAATATAAATTAATATATATATATATATATATATATATATATATATATATATATAATATATATATATATATATATATATATATAAAGACAAGGTAGTCCAAAATTTTTTTGACTAGTTTGGAAAAAATATGTAAATACTTTTTTCTTTTTGGGTGTGGTAGTCAATAAAAAATAGAGCTTTGCTAAGGCGTACTATTTATACTGAAATCCGTAGACAACGTAGACAACAGATAATTTATAACAATCTTTTTCATAAAATTAAGAGAACTAATATCAATAAATTCAATAAGTTCAGATTAGATAGTTTTGACAGTATTGATTTCAGGGAGAGTTGGTTTAAAAACCTTACAGACTTAGAATTTCCTGTAGAAGTTAAAACGTTGTTGGCTTTAGGCCCTAAATTCTCTTTGCTTCCTAACAAAAAAGATTTTTAAGTTTCCTCTTTGTTGGCAGACATCGAGAACATTTTAAGACCAATTGAGAATGTCGATAAGGACATTCTAAGGTCCAAATGCACTAATATAATCACGAACTTTCTCAACAAAGTTGAAAAAGACCACTTTTTAAATAAATACTATATTAAATGCAAAACTTTTTTGAAACATCACCCTGAGATCAAGATTGTTCAGAGCGACAAAGGCAATGTCACTGTAGCAATGTACACTAGGGACTATATACAAAAATGTGAAGACTTATTAACAGAAACTAAATATTATAAAAAGTTAAACAACAATCCCGTGTGTACTCTGCAACAAAAGGCTAATAAACTAGTTTCTGATTTGGTAAAGGAGAATCAAATAGATCAATCAGTTGGGAAAACATTGAAAATTTATAATGCAATTGCTCCTAGATTTTATGCACTCCCAAAAATTCATAAACCTACTTTGTCTATGAGACCAATAGTTTCCTCAATAGGTACACATAATGGCCCCATAGCAAGTTTTTTAACCAATATTCTCACAGAAACCTACAGTAACAACAATGATTTCTGCATTCAGGACTCTTTCAGTTTCAGTTCTTTTATTAATAACTTAAAATTACCTATCAATTATAAGCTCGTTAGTTTTGATGTAGTGTCTTTGTTTACTAATTTACCTTTACACACAATTTTGGTTAGTGTTGAGAAACACTGGGACGACATATCAATGCACACAACTCTTAACTTATCTAATATCAAAAAACTCATTTCTTTTGTTTTTGACTCTAATGTTTTTATTTTTAATGACTGTTACTACAAACAAGTCTTTGGTACTCCAATGGGTTCCACCATTTCACCAATTCTTTGTAATTATGTCTTAGACGACTTGATTAAAGATTGTTTGCAACAAATCAATTTTGAAATACCTTTTATAAAGAGATACGTGGATGACTTAATCTTGGCACTACCAGCAGACTCTATACAATTTACGTTAAATGTTTTCAACCAACAAAACCCACACTTGCAATTCACATGCGAGGAAGAGCGGGAGGGATCTTTGCCCTTCCTTGACATGCGTTTGCATAGATGTGAGGATAATGTTGTGAAAACACAATGGTATAGAAAACCTATATGTAGCAATAGATTCATAAGCTACCATTCCCACCATCCTCCTAGAATGAAAACCAACCTAGTCCTAGCAATGAAAGAACGTGTCAAAAGGTTATCACATCCAGATTATCTCCAACATGATCTTAACCTCTTACGGAATATTTTTGTTGAAAATTCATATCCTCTAAGACTGATTAATAAATTAATTTTTAATGTTCCATTTGTTAACAGAAATAACATTCTCACTAATTCTCAATCAGTGCCCTCAGCACAAAACAATTCTTCTCAAACAAGTGTGTATTTTTATGCCCTTCCGTATATTCCAAAACTAACCGTAGAACTTACTAAAATTTTCAAAGAATTTAAGAACATCAAAATAGGTAACAAGAACATCAAAACCATACGTCAGCTGTATAGCAAAATAAAACAACCCCTAACTACTTTAGAGTCAAGAGATGTTGTTTATTGCATTCAATGTACTGAATGTCCATCCACGTACATTGGTGAAACTGGAAGAAATCTGTCTAGTCGTATCATTTCTCATAAGAGTGACTGTAGACTAAATAAACCCACTTGTGCTTTGGCAGAACACACTATCGATCTAGACCATAAGATAGATTTCAACAATGTAAAAATATTAGCCAGAGAGAAAAATAAATTTAAGAGAACATTCTTAGAAATGGTACATATCAGCAGGAGTGATAACAACAATCTGAATAAAAGATCTGAGATCCAGAATCTTAGCAAAATTTACAATTTTATTTTGACTTTTGACTAGGGTCTTCTGCATCTCAGAGTGTTTCATGTCTTGTTTCTTAAATTCCATTATTAATTGCTATAATTATCATGATTAACTTCAGTTATTATTCAGATGTTCATTTTGTTTTTGGTTGTTTGTTTTTTTCTAAACCTACTTACTAAATACTATTTTCTTTTTATTGTTTGACATAATGAACTTTTTTTAAATTTCCCTCTCAATTTAAAGTTGGTAACATGGTTGGTAGTACTTAAAATCACAAACGGTATTTTGTTAGACATCAGTTTGAAAGTTTGTTTTTTGTAGTTACATCGAACTATTTAAACAACAATAGTTCCTCCTACTACCTCTTTCTGTTCGTGAGATGTGACTGAATTCAAACCTGCGAAGACGACTGTTTTTTGTCAAACATGTCGTCTTATTTTTTACTTTTTAAACTTTGTAACATGTTCTTTAATTTTTAAGTTATTTTAAAGTTTTTAAGTTTTAATGCCTTCAGTAATTCAGATCACATTATGTTATTTAACGTTGTGTTTTATATGCTATGAATCTTACTTTCTGGTAAGTTTTTATAACTTTTATATTACATCAGCCTAATTTTATAACACAGTAATTTTCATTGTAGACCTTGATAAAGGTGCAAACAACCACCGAAAGCTCGGATTTCAGAATAAATAGTACGCCTTAGCAAAGCTCTATTTTTTATTGACTACCATACCCAAAAAGAAAAAAGTATTTACATATATATATATATATTATATATATATATATATATATATTATATATATATATATATATATGATTACTTAATAAAATTATTAGACATATATTATGCAGTTACGGTTAAAATGCGAATATCAGATAATACTAGAATTACCTGGATATTTGTGAATATTTCCTTGAATTTTGGATTTATCTGGTTAATACTATATTATTCTAATCAAATAAATAACCGTTTCTAATTTGAAGTAAAAATGAAAATAATAATTTTTATCGCTGTTTCTAAGTTCTATCAAGTTCTCACTGATTAATTATATATTTTGGACAATAATTCTGTAGTAGATTCTTAATAAAGAAAAGATAGCACATAAAATTTAAACGTAAGTAATGTTATTTAAAATTTGTAAGAAAAAAATTTGTCCTTTACCTTTCATAGTAAACGTGAGAACCATGTAGATCGGCAGCTCCAGGTTTATTGACCAATTTCGCCCCTTGTGTCGTTCTGTGTTGTGTTCGACACCTGCATGGATCGTGCTTGTCTAAGTAATGAGATAGGGTGTCCCATCCACCTCCTACTCGAACCATTACGTGATTACGCAGGATCTGGAAAGAATTAGCATATTAGACATAATTATGTGTCGATACATGTTTAATGGAATATTATTTGGCATTAACGGGATCAATGCATGTTTGATCATGCAAGAATAATATTTTTAAATTAATTTTAATTTTATAATTTACAGGGATGTATTTAACAGTCAAATATGTAGGTGGTCCGATAAGTACTTAGTTTCATCGCTCGATGGCGCCACTATCTCAAGATAACTCTACTATCGTGTAATCATATCTTGTACCGGCCTAATCGGACTAAATTTTTCGCGCGTGTGAAAGCGGGCGCGCTTTCCGCGGATTTCTATTAGAAACATGGAAAAAGAGCAATATCGGTAGGTGATTCGATTCTTATTTTTGCAAGCGAAATCGTGCATAGGAATCAAAGAAGTGCTTGGATTCTGTATAAGGTGACTATTTTCCTGGTCTCGCGTCGATTTTCGATGAGCCACGCATAGGTCACGATCAAATGCACGGCAATAACTCCACGATCCCATATTGGCAGACGACTGAAGTTACGCGATATAGCTGAGATAGTAGGCATCTTAAAAGACTGAGTATGTCATATCCTGCGTGAAATTTTGGGCATGAGAAAGCAGTCGGCACGATGATTGCTGCGTTTGCTCACTCACGACAATAAGCTTAACCGTGAAACCACTTCATAGCAATGTGTCACGCTATTTAAGCCTAATTCCAAGGAGTTTCTACGTCGTTTCGTATCCATGGACGAAACATAAATCCATTGGTACATACCAAGGACAAACAAACAGTCTAAACAGTGACGGCACCCGGCGAATATGCTCCGAAGCAGGCGAAGACTGTCCTACCGGCCGGAAAGGTGAAGGCCACCATTTTCTGGGAGTCACAAGGGGTGATCTACGTCCACTACCTAGAGAATAGCAAATCTAGGGCTCTACTACGCTGAAGTATCGGGCCGATTCAACGACCCCATTTAGGCGAAGAGAAAAGTGCTCTTCCATCATGACAATGGACCGGCTCATACCTCCAACGTCGCCACGGCTAAATTGGTCGAATTGGGCTACGAACTTTTGCTCCATTCACCACGTTCTCTAGATTTGACCCCGAGTGACGTCTTTGTGTTTCTAAACTTGAAAAAAAAACACTCGCCGGGCAGACATTTCAGTCGAAATAGGATGTCATCGCCGCCATGGGAGCCTACTTTGCAGACCTCGAGAAAACGTATTTTTTTTAGACGGTTAAAGTAGATCGGTTGTGAATCGAGCTAAAAGTTGAGACTATGTTGAGAAATAAATCGCAACTTTTCCAAAATTTTCGGGTTTCTTTTGTAGGTTAAGTACTTATAGGACCGGCCTAGTACATGTTGCTTTAACAGTTTCTGTATATCAGCTTTTGTTCCCACCATTCTAGGCTAGTTTCGCAGTATATTATCGCTCATCAGCTAGACTAGGTAGAAACACAAAGGCTGTGTACCTACAGGCTGGAAAATTTCACTTTGCCTCTTAAGGTTAACGTAGATTTCTTACGCGTGTCAGACTGCAGAAGAGCTAGCAAGTAGAGTAAAATCCGAAGCAAAATTTTAATTATTAAATGTAATATATTAGGAAAAACTAGTAGTAGAATTATTAATTCCACTGGCACAATAATAGAGCAGAGTTGCAAAAGCAGTTAATGTAAGCAAGAACACAGTTACAAATATTGTCAAGTAAAGAAAAAATATTGGAGAAGAAGAACTTTTGTCGTTCCATATAAAACATAAATGCAAAACCCAGAAAAATCTATTTACATGATGTCGATACAAAAATATTTCAAAGAGTTTGACAGCTGACAATTAAGGGTTAGACAAATGGAGCTTTACGTAAAAAAATATTTTACGTTTTCATTGTTGATGAAAATATTTTAAAAATAAATGTTTGGCGGCCACAGTTTAAAAATTTCGTAAAAACTATGGTCGCAATATTGATTTAACTTTGTCAACTGTGAAGAAAGTAATTGAAAAATTTAGGGAAACTGGATCAATTGGTGCTAAATACATTTGGCGTACAAAAACAAAACGATCAAATTTCAATATCGAAGCACTGCGTGAGAGTGTTGGTGAAAGTCCAGGAAAATCAAATCAGCGTCGTATACAAGAATTGCAAATTTCAAGAAGCTCTCTACAGCGTATACTCACTGAAGATCTGAATGTCCATGTTTACAAAGTTCAATTGACACAAGAACTGAAGCCTAATGATCATGTACAGTGAAGAGTGTTCGTCGAATGGATTTTTGAACATCAATAAATGGATGCTGATTTTCGAGCAAAATCATTTTAAGCGATGAAGCACATTTTCACCTTGATGGTCTTGTTAATCGTCAAAATGGCCGCATTGTGAGGTTCTAAGAACCCACATGTACTGTAAAAAAAGGCATCCATAACATGTCACTGGTGTGGATTTTGGTCTGGATGCATCATTGGACCATACTTCTTTGAAAATACGGCTGGTCAAGTACTAACTGTTACTGGTGCTCGATATGATTTTGGAATAAATTGGATAATACTGATGTAGTCGACATGTGGTTTGAACAAGACGGTACCATATGCTATACAGCCTGTGAAACAATTCAATTACTACATGACACATTTATTGGTAGTGTACTCTCTCGTTTTGGTGGTCAAAATTGGCCCCCTAGATCGTGTGATATAACACCATTGGATTTATTTTTATGATGTTATTTGAAGTCAAAGGTCTACGCCAAAAAACCTACAACCACTCGTGCATTTAAAGAGGAAATTCAATGTTGCATCAACGGAATTCAGTCACATTTATGCGATACGGCCATGAAAATTTTCGACAAAAGAGTGAGTATGTGTCAGCAAAGCCTTAGAAATAATTTGCCTAATGTGCTATTCCATACATAACACTATTCTATTCACTTTATGATTCAATAAAAAATTACAATTTAAAGATAAAAAACAGTGTTTTCTATTCAATTTAAATCCTGCATGAATTTTGGTATACTCTTTACACGGTAACTCAGCAGTGTTTTATACACCAAAAAATTTAAGAGCTCTCAAGTGGTGGTTCTTGAGAAAATCTGGGAAATATATATTCAAGAGTTTAAGGGCAATTTTTTAAGGCAAATAAAAAATACCAAATGGAAGAAGAACTATACGATAGCCTAGGAGAAGATTAAACAATGTTGTTCAATTTTTTCACATGCAAAAAATCATGTCATTTTTTCGCTGTATTATTATCTATCCTTATATCACAAATTTACAATCATTATTCTAGTCCAACCCTTAAAAACCCTTCCTACTTACAGTTCAACCCCCTCTCTTAAGAAATACAGACAGTTTCAAGATAGCAAAGAAAAAGATACTCTCTTGATGGTCGCCCGTCGCTAAGGACAGACCATTCTCTCTCTCTTAGTTTGGCCATCGCTAGAGCCAGACGCTCTCTCTTTCATTCTCTCTCTCTTCGCTTATCAAGAAGAACAGCATCTATCTTGGCTGTTTTTCTATCGTAATTACCTCTTTCCCGCTTCAGTTACGCAAGAAATATCGAAAATACTGTATTAAATCGTGTGCAGACAAAGTGTGCTCTATATCGTGATTTATTTGCGAAACACGTGTTCAGAAACCGGTGCATCGGACAGATTTCGCGGGTGAAGAATAACCACGAGTGAAGACCGGAAACAACCGTGAGAGTGTGGAGCAGAAAACATATTGATAAGACTTTCTATAAGTAAACTTAATTAGCTATTGTCTGTATACCTTTTATTACTTATCCTAATTTTATTGAACCAGCCCTATATAATACAGTCCACATACACGAAAATTATACTAATAATTTCCCACATATGTACTCCCTTTTTGTACAAATGTAGTCAAAGAGGATCTGAAAAAAATGGGGGTAAAACAATGGGAAATAGTGACATAGAACTGACAATAGTGGAAGGCACTAGTAAATATTACAATGAATTACGAAGAGTTACAACGTCATTGATGCAAAATATTGAAAAGCAAATAATAGGCAATATAACAAAGGCATTAAAAAATAAAAATAGTGCTGCCTAAAAATAACAAAAATAATCGAAAAAAGCAAAAGTGTTGAGGCGCGATACGAACAACACAGACAACAAGAATATGTACGGAATAAAAATCAAATCGAAATTCTCTAGGTTGTAGAATCATTTTAACGCGATTATATGTTCCAGTAAAATACCAGTTCCACTGGAGAGGAAATAAAAAAACTATCAAAAATGAAAAATAAAAATTTCCTAACGATGATCGCGGCGCTCAATCTAGATCGAAATATATCCAGGCTTTGACCAAACTTTTCACCGAATGCATCTACCAAGAAAAAGCTCCTTCTCAATAGAACAATACAGTCATTGTTTTATTACACAAGAAAGGAGACACAACAGATCTAAAAAACTACCAACAGACTGAAAACTAAGTTAGACTTCTATGAGCCCAGAGAACAAGCTAGATTTAGATAAGGATACCACACTAACTAGTGATAAAAATCACTTACTAGTGATAAAGAATACAACAAATCATTGGCACTGATATTCGTAGACTACGAGAAAGCATTCGACACTATAAGCCAGTAATAGAGGTTAAAAGCATTGACAGAATGACAAACAGACCATCGCTACACTATCATAATCCAACATATCTACCAAAATGCTACGGCTGGCTAAGATTATCGGAACAAAAAACAAATAAATACTGTATACTGTATCTGAACGAGTATGGTATCAACATGAATAAAAGAAGGTCAGTTGTTTGAGATTCGCAGATAACATTGTCCTTATAGTTGATAAGATCATGCAATAAGAATGTTGCCAAAATTATATCATGTTTCCTTGGAGGTCGGACACAAAGATTAACATGAAGAAGACGCAAATAATGCCTAATCTGATGCTAAATTGAAATATTGCTATTGATGGAAAGGATATTAAGCAGACTGCATTGTATTAACACTTGGCGCATAAAATTCGGTTGGGCAGCGATAACCAGACATGTG